TACAACATCAATAATAAACGTGACAATACAATAGTTAGGTTCACCCCCACTCTTCTCAGGGATAAATACAAAAAAATCGATCGTACAAAAAAAACAGAATTGTAGAAAATTTAATTTTAAACAACTTTGTTTATAACAATTTTTCTCGTAAAATTGAAAATAAACGAGTTATTCTATAACCAAAAATTCACCCCCACTTTTCGGGTATAAATCGAAAAAAATCGATCGTACAAAAAAAAAGCAGAATTGTAGGAAATTTAATTTTAAACAACTTTGTTTATAACAATTTTTCTCGTAAAATTGAAAATAAACGAGTTATTCTATAACCAAAAATTCACCCCCACTTTTCGGGTATAAATCGAAAAAAATCGATCGTACAAAAAAAAAGCAGAATTGTAGGAAATTTAATTTTAAACAACCTTGTTTATAACAATTTTTCTCGTAAAATTGAAAATAAACGAGTTATTCTATAACCAAAAATTCACCCCCACTTTTCGGGTATAAATCGAAAAAAATCGATCGTACAAAAAAAAAGCAGAATTGTAGGAAATTTAATTTTAAATAACTTTTGTAAAAACTATTTTCCGTGTAAAATTGAAAATAAATGAGTTATTCAAGATGCAAAAAATAACCCTTTAAATCAAGATGGCGGAGGTAACGACAACTTTGGAATCCCAACTTTTTGAATTTAGACTACCAGAGACCCCCTCCAACGAATTCCGAAGGAAAATTGCTGCTTCGAATTTTTCAGAATCTAAAATACTAATCCGATTGGGCTAATGCATTTAATTAAGAATAGCAGCCTTTTTAATTATAGAAAATAAAATAATAGTATGTAACATGCAAAGCGTTCGGAGCACAATAGTGGTACTTCCTTGGTAATAAAGCAAAGCCCAAAGCCTCAAGTCAGGTAACCGAAGAGTGAAGACGAGTGTAGAATAAAGAGCGAAAAATGAAGAGCGAAGAGAGTATAAGCAGTCTAAGTTAAATAGGAACCGTCTTACTTGTGTCCCAGTGGTCCATGCAGAATGGTGGTGATAGCATATACCCTGAGGTGAATGTACCTTATGAAACCAATGCAGTAGCAGCGATTAAGTGATTAGGTAAGCAGGTCTATCTTAGATTAATTTAGTCCAATGTAAAACAGTATATAACCAATTTTTAGGTAACAAATACCAGCCCAAGATGAGGTGGCCTACAAGAGAGAACAGAAAGTATAAATAAAAGCCTTAGATAAAACAAAATGGATGACAGAAACCATAGATGACTTACCACGTGGTGTTGGTTGGCCTTTAAGATAATGTAAATAGGTAAGGAAATAAATTTAATAATCCACAGAATGTGATTTCAGACTTCTGAATATAATTTCTTTCCTTAGAGAGATGATTCATTTGCTTTGTTGAGTGCAAAAATCCGAAGTAGAGGACGAAAATAATAGCACATGCTACAAGTTGCTAACCCAAAAGCAGAATGACCAGAAGCTTGAAGGACAACCAGGCTGACCACTGGTCAGTGATGGTATCCCTGTCATTTTAAATATTTGTCACTACTGAAACAGACCTTAACTAAAAGAAGAATTAGTTGGTGATCTAAACAGGCTTGTCAGTAGAGGCCTAACCGAAGAAAGGTATGAGAAGAAGAAATAATAGAAAAAATAGAAAGAAATGATTTGGAATATAAACAAATAAAATAATGGACTTTTATATTAACTATTTAATTGGCTGCTATTGTGTTTTATTATATGAGAAGTAAGTGATGCATTTTTAAGTATCGCTTCTAATAATCATTATGAAGGCAGTAAATTATAATAGAAAACTATGGTGTATCAAATAAATACACTAATTAGGTTAAACCCGTAACAATATCTACAATTTGACCCTAATTTTATTTAATGATGAGGCAACTTTTTCGCGAGAAGCAATTATTAATTTTCATAATGAACATTTATAGACTGAGGAGAATCTTCATTTAGCAAACATTTTCACTAAATGTATGGATAGGGATTATTGATGACCATCTTATTGGACCATACTTTTTACCCCCTCGACTGAATGGTGATTCGTATACTCAGTTTTTACACGAAGAACTAAATGGTCTGTTAGAAAAAGTGCCTCTGCAAGTAAAACGAGATTTATGGTTTATGCACGATGGTACACCAGCCCATTTTAGCCTTCTTGCTCGCCAATACCTCGACAACACTTTTTCTAATCGCTGGATTGGACGCAGAGGTCCTCAAGCTTGGCCACCTCAAAGTCCCTTGGAATTTTATTAATGAGATCACCTTAAATCACTCGTGTATGAGACACCTGTATTAAATAAAAATTATTTAAGAAATCGAGTAATTCAAGGTTGTAATACCATAAGAAATACTCAGGAGTTTTTGAAAGAGTAAGACAATAAATGAGGAGACGATTGGAATCGTGCGTTTTATCAGAAGATTTCCATTTTTAACATTTGCTTTGATTCTTTGTTATAAGTGATTATTTATATGATTGTTATTTGTAGTTAAATAATAAAAAAAATCGAACAATCAAAAAACTAAATATTGAAAAAGAACAGCGGCGTAACACGTTTTTCCTTATTTTTCAGCTATTACCTTGTCCGCACGCCACTGGTTAAACGAAAGCCACTGTGTTTACAGTAAAATAAGCAACGTTGCTAACTCTTAAAATCTGCAAAAAATTAATTAAAATATCTCAAGTGGTTTTGGAAATATTTAAAAAAATTATATTTTTTTTATCAAACTTTAGTGTATATGACAAAAATACCTTTATTTTAGCTCCAGAGTACGCTCCTGAAGTTATGTACCTTACTTATCGAACACCCTGTATAAAAAAAATGAACATAATGAAAAACATATACAAGCCATGTCAATATTGAAAGAATATTTTTTTTTTAATAAGTTTAATATCCTAAAATTTCTCGATGATTTTGATTAAACATGGCAAGTTTGTTTTTAGTACTAACAGGGTAATTTAAATCTGACTTCAATGGCGTCCCGGAAGGCAACTTAGAAAATAAAAGCAATTTAGAGCACAGCTTTATATGAAACTGATTCCTCCTAATTTTAATATGATATTTATAGAAAGTAAAAAAATATCGAAAATACAAATTATTAAATACTTTCTAGTGCGTGCGTTTGGTATTTTAAACTACTATGACCTTTCGATGTTTTATACGGTCGATATTTTATGTAGTCAATATTGTTATTCGATATTTTATACTTTCAAGGTTTGTACATTCGATATTTTGTGTTTTCGATAATTGGTACGTGTCCGATATCTTTTATATCGACATTTATTTATCTCGATATTTTTGCGCCCACACCGGTGTGAAGTTAGCAGCCACTTTCCAGCAGCCCGTTTACCGGAAACACCCGAGTTACCAGTATCGTCGAAATGTATTTTCTGTGAAGTTAACAGTGTATTGAAATAAAATTACTAGTAAATTTTTAAGAAACAAATAAAAAGTGTTTAGAGAAAGGATTAAGGGGTAAACTGAAATAAAAATCCAATAAAAAATTCATTAAAAAATCAATTTTTCTGTAAAGATAACAGAATATTGAAATAAAAATAGTGCCAAATTGTTAGAAACTATAATATACAACCTAAAAAATTTAACAAAATCACTTAGGAAGGGATGAGGGGGTCAAATTAAATAACATTCCATTAAAAATCTATTTAAAAATTAATTTGCCTAAGAAGACAATCTAGTATTGAAATAAAGTTAGTGTCAAATTGATAGAAACTATAATATACAACCTAAAAGAATTAATAAACGTAAAAAATGAGAAGATGTAAGCACACAAAGCTTAAAGTATAGAATATAAAAAATTAGACAAACGCTTGGATTTAGAAAAAAATTTAAGATAATTCGTTACTAATTCCTAAACAAATCGATATTGTACAACAAATTTTTCACAATAGATCATTTTTCAATTGTAAATGAGAAGGTATAAGCTAAATACACAAAGCTAAAAGTATAGACTATCAAAAATTAGACAAACGCCTAGATTTAGAAAAAAAATTATTAAGTCAATTTGTTACTAATTCGTAAACAAATCGATTTGGTACAACAAATTTTTCACAATAGACAAATTTTCAGTTTTTAAATGAGAAGGTATAAGGTGAACACCAAGAGAGAAAAATGTAAAAAAAGGTTTTTGGTTTGGTGATTTTAATTTTAAATTAATAAAATTTAAGTGCTTAGGAGTGCTGTTTTTACAATTTCTATATCGAGGGAAGTACTGGGTAAAATACTTTACCCATTTTTTTTAAATTGTAGTTAATAGTTTAAACAATTTGGCACTAACTTTATTTCAATACCCAATTGTCTTCATAGAAAAATTAATTTTTAAATATATTTTTAAAAAAATTTAATTTATTTTGACCCCCTCATCCCCTTCCTGATTGATTTTATTAATTTTTCAGTTTGTTTATTATAGTTTTTAACAATTTGGCACTAACTTTATTTCAATACCCAATTGTCTTCATAGGCAAATTAATTTTTAAATATATTTTTAATGGAATTTTATTTAATTTGACCCCCTCATCCACTTCCTAAGTGATTTTGTTAATTTTTTTAGGTTGTATTTTATAGTTTTTAACAATTTGGCACTATTTTTATTTCAATATTCTGTTATCTTTATAGAAAAATTGATTTTTTAATTAATTTTTTATTGGATTTTTATTTCTGTTTACCCCTTATTCCTTTCTCTAAACACTTTTTATTTGTTTCTTAAAAATTTAGTAGTAATTTTGTTTCAATACATTGTTAACTTTCGGCGCCACTGGTAACTCGGGCGTTTCCGGTAAACGGGCTGCTGGAAAGTGACTTCACACCGGTTGCACCCACTATTAACTGAACTTATTTTTTTAACTAGGAGAAAAAAATGGAAAAACCACATTTCCACAGAGAAAAATTACTAGAAAATCTACTAATTATTTTAATGATAAATTTTAATCTGAATTACGTAAAATTTTTTACTAAGTGAAACTAACCATACTCATTTTTGTCCTTTCCCCATGAGAATGCATCATCTCGACCTCCTGGCATTCCATTGTATCCTATGCCAACAATAACATTATCCTTGTTTACTATACATGCACCAACTTGAAACTTGGGATCTCTACTTCGCATTGCTGCCAAAATGGCTGTCGACATAAATTGATCTTCGGCATCTATTACGCCCCTGTCATTTGTTAAAAAAAAAATCAAATTATAGAAATCGTAAAAGTGACTAAATACCCAAGGGGTGGGAGCTTTAAACTAAAATAAGAAGAGAAAACCGCGAAAACGCCCATTCATGCATATTCTTGAATATATCAAGAATATTAATCTGATTAAAAGTTTAAAGCTTCAGTACGAGTGGGCTATAACGATGCAGATTCACAAAACTGTACTTGTTTTTCATTTCGTCCTGGGGCATATTCCAAGTATCTTCGGTCCTAAAACTAATAGACTTCCGTCTGATTACTATGTTCCTAATTATTCTAGAGCTTGCCCTTTTTGCCACATATGTACCATTAAATGTATAGATGTCAGGTGTCAGATTAACTCCATTGCGACCGTAGGGTAGGTGCTCATGCATTGGTGAAGCAAAGACTAATCTTTGTACCTTTGTAATATCAGCTCTAGTAGTAGCTAAACTAGTGCTGTTACTACTGGCAGATAGAAAGGATGAAAATAAGCTTAAGAAAAATTGAAAACATTCGTAGCTTGTGGGTATCGATATCATAATCACTAGATCACAAAAGCTTACGCATCCAGCAATCTAGTAAATTATTATTAAGCTATTGCATAGCTTTTATCGCGGGCTTTGAGCGCGGCGACCGAATCAAGAAATTCCGTAACGAAAATAAACCTAACACCCCCCACTCCGACCGGCACAGCGGACATATATTGTAAGATAATAAAAATATTTTAAACAATATTAACTTCTCATTTATTCAATAAAAGAAAAACGAAAAATCGAAAAATCGTAAAATCGAAAAAGAAATTCCGTAACGAAAATAAACCTAATATTTCCCACTCCGACCGGCACAGCGGTGCGGCGTTAAAAGCTGTGCATCGTCTAACGTCGTTTCAGTTCGACAGACTTCGGCATGGTGTTTGTGTGCATGCGACTAGACGTATGCGTGTAGACTAGCTGCTAACTGCTCATAACTAATTCTATCTCTTTTAGACACAATTTCGGAAAAATTGAATTTGAAAATGAATAATATCCACAAGAATCCACAACAAAATATGGGACCACCATTGACACGGTATTTTCCAGATATTGTATGGGATATTTAATGGGTCCTTCTATACCCGCATTTTTAACCACTGTGCTTTTGGTTCGATATTCGAACAGAGCGGTCCTTCTGTGACACTCTGGGTGAGCATGTGGCTGCCCTGTATTCAAGATGTCGGTCTAGCGTTTCCGTCCTGTCGTTAATTGTGAGTATATGATCAGTTTGGGGTAGATAGGACCTCTATTTGGGTTTATTTAGGCTATTTATTTCGTTTTAGAGGCTTTGTTTGCTTATTTTAGCCCTTTCTGTCAAGAATTTATTTCGTAATAGAGGGCTGATGGGACACCTATCTGACACTGAGGTATGTTGGTATTACTGTTTTTTTTTTTTTTTTTTTTTTTTTTTTTTTTTTTTTTTTTTAATTTTAAGTGGCGTTGTTCCGTCCTGTTGGGTATTTTCGAGATTGATATTTGACACACGTGGATTTTGTTTTAAAGGTACTGTTTCGAAATTTATTAGAAGTCGTTTCAATCCATTTGGGATATTACGAAGCAACCTTTTTGTTTTAAGTTACAACAGTGTGGATTTGGTAGTATTTTTTGGTGAACACATGTTGTAGGAGCTCTTAGGAGGATATATTTAACCACATGTTGAATCTCTTTGTGTCCACATATATATGTAGTCTTTCTTTCAATTTGCAAATCTTCAACAATATCTTCTGGTTTAGATGGTAGACCTCTAACCATTACTTTAATTTCTCTGTTGTCTATAGTTTCATAGGAATGCCAATTTATGTCTTTGGCAATCAAAGTTAATATGATATTTTTGAAGTCTTCCTATTTAGTATTAAATTTAAATTGATTATTGCTTAAAGCTGTAGCTTGAAAAGAAATATTGTTTTCTGCCAGTGCATAGCACAATTCTTCATACTTATTGATGTTGCTTGCTATTTTTAAGGTGAAGGGGGGAGAAAAAGTCCTTTTATCTCACAAGGAAAGTCAATGTTTAATTATTCAACAAAACATTGAGTGCGACCGGTTTCGAAGTATCATCACTTCATCTTCAGGCTCGCCTAGTGGAAAGGAGAATATGTGGTGTAAGGTGTGTTGACTTTGAGCCCACAATATATAAAATAGTAAAAAATAGAAAAACTCACCATACTCTCCATCCACTAGGGAATACTACAGACAAGTTTCATCAAAACGTGGGGGATGAAATAAATTGTAAAACAAAACAATGTTACAAGTTATAAAAAGTTAAAAATATTTGGAAAACAAATATTAGTCGATATAAATAGTTAAAATTTTTAAAATATTCAAGACTATACAAAAACAAATCACATACATTAAACAGATTAAAAGATAAGGCCTATTTTAAGCAACATTGCTGTTTTTTATAAAAATCTAACATTTTTGAAAGGAGACCTGTCAAGTTAAGGCCTCTACAGGTGGTGGTAAATACTAACGAAAAATTCTTGGATAAACTTATGACAGGGTATAGGTAATAAGATGTAAACTATGAGTGAAGAAATATTTATTATTTATTATATAAGATTTGGGCCATGAACCAATCACCAAGTGTATGTGATGTTGTAGGATAAAATAAGAAAGAAGAAGAAATGACTGGGTTAACTGTTGTGAAGCAACTGAAAAATAAAAGAAGAAGAAGAAAATGACAGATGTGAAAACACACAACTTAACCTAGTCCTTAAACATGCACGTTGGTTTTTTGTGGAAAGAAATTACTTACTGAAATGTACCCCTTGCAAGGAAATATATGAATAGAAATAAAGGGGGAGGTTAAAAAGGAAGTTAGAACGATAAATTTAGATTAGTGTTGAGAAAACTGGAGGAGTTTCTGACATTATCTGGGCATTTAAGCAACCAACAGGATTTAATTTTAAATTTCTCAATATCTCGAGGCTTTCGAAGCTATTAAGAGTAAATCTATGGTAGGAACTATGTAGGATTTCGAAACCTTCAGTTGAATCGAAGTCGTGATTTGAGTCCAGTAGGTGGTTGGCAAAATGTGAAAATCCTGTTGTATTTTGGTTAAGACAACGCAAATGTTCTTTTAAACGGATCTTGAAATTTCGAAATGTGCGTCCCACATAGAAAGAATGGCAAGATTTAAAAGTCAATTTATAAATTCCAGACAAGTCAAAGGGATCTAATTTATCTTTATTATGAACAAATAACTTATGTAATGAGGAGGGGGTTTTGAAAGATACTTTAAAGTGGTCTTTAAGTAAGCTTGCCACTTTATCCCCCACGTTTTGATGAAACTTGTCTGTAGTATTCCCTAGTGGATGGAGAGTATGGTGAGTTTTTCTATTTTTTACTATTTTATATATTGTGGGCTCAAAGTCAACACACCTTACACCACATATTCTCCTTTCCACTAGGCGAGCCTGAAGATGAAGTGATGATACTTCGAAACCGGTCGCACTCAATGTTTTGTTAAATAATTAAACATTGACTTTCCTTGTCAGATATAAAGGACTTTTTCTCCCCCCTTCACCTTAAAATTACCTCCACTCACACATGGCTACCCCCTTGTCAATTGCTTGCTATTATCGGGGAAAGTTTCACTGTTTTTTCGACTATTTCTTTCTCTTGTTGTAGATCTTTGCTACCTCCAAGTTGGCCAGGAGAGGTATCTGGAGAGGAGTTGGTTTTTCTTCTATTGATTCCACTGTTCTCCATTCTACTTCTTTGTTAATTTGATCGCCGATTTCTTTTGCCAGTTCTTCTTCATCAGTCTCATAATTCGTTAGACTTTTACATTTTTCTTTGTTTAAAATATTAATTTGTTTTTGCATATTTTCCATATTGTTATTGCTGTTTTCAGCTTTTTCCAGTATCCAAGCATTTTACAATGCCTGTTCATTCTGACTTCTAGCTTGATTTGCACGAAATAAGGCCAGATATTGTTGAGCTAGGAGATTTTCTCCTACTTCCTCTGTTTCCATATTATTTGTTTGATTTACTTGAATCAGCCAGGTCCTGTTTTTTGCTCCAAAAGCAATTTGGCAGGTTCTGTTTTTTTATTTTTTTCTACACATTGTAAAACTATTTTTAATGGTATATTATTTTCATTTTTGTTCTTAAACATTATGTTTTGCAATCATTCTTGATTTTTTAAACAGTCACGATTAAAAGATATTTACACTATATACGCGAACGAAACTGACCTAGTTATGGAATAATTATAATAAACATACATACTCACTTGTCGACAGCCTAATATAAAATGATGTCTTAAAATAGAATAACTTAAACTTATAGATTAGGGTCAGGTAGATGATTATCACCATTACAAAACATCATAGAAAACAGAAAAAATAATTTGATGCTAGTACTGAGGGAAAAATGGTACGAGATTTGTGAGAAACCATCGTATTTCAGTGGTAGAAATAGGAGGGGTCAAATGTAGGTAGTTCTTAATGAAAAAGCACAGAAATTCCAGAGCCGGGCGTCGTAGTAGATACAGAATATAAAATTAATGATTGTGTGGTCAATAGAGTAGAGACCAGTGAAATAGAAGAAAAAACTGACTAATTTAACATTTAATTCGTAATGAGGTCACTAGACCAGTAGAGACCAGTAAAAAATAGAAGAATTTAATGGCAACATAAATATTTAGCTCTCAGATAATAGAGCAGAGTTACTTAAAGGCAGTTTCGTTATGTACACTTCATGTTATTGTTACCTCTAAGGGAGTTAATTTGTAACTCCCGTTCTTTCCTCGTAGGAACATTACATAAAAATCAACCTATTAGTTTGGGATTATTTGGTTTTTCTTTTGTTTTAATGGAATTTTTTGTAATATTATGAACTGAAATTCGAATTATAATATTATTATAGACACAATGAACGAAGTCAAATAATCTACAGATAAATTTTATACGTACCGTACATTAGCCATAATTTTTACAGTATAAAATATTTAACACTGTAACTGATGTAACACGATTTTGAACAAAAGATCGATACTATACCTTATATAGATAGTTCAAGTATATTATACGATTGTAATATGACACATAAAGTGTGATATAAAGATAATACAATAAATAAACTATTGATCTTAATCTTTTTCGCTAAAAGTTGTCTGGAAAAACAAGTATAAATTCTAATAATTAAAGTAGAAAAAAAAAATGCAAAATATTATCTCTAAATGTATATCCACTTAAATATGAAGATTGATTACATTTACGTTTGAAATAAAAAACAGTAATGTAAAAAACGTGAAAACAACAATTGGGCAACTACGTGAACAAATATATTGACGTTCTACTTAGTAAAATAGAGAAGGATCCACTCTTTTAAATCCTGGCCAAAATTATTTATCGCTTTTTTACTTACATTGTTTTTTAAACGTCTTTAAAAGTATTTTTAGGGATAAAAACGTACAGAAAAATAATTATACGCCCAAATAGCATAAATAGTTTTTAAAAAAGTTAAAAAAAGGAGGTAAATTTGTGGGATTTTTTGCAAAAATCATTTATTTTATAGTTAAATGTCAGAATATATCTGTGACAAACAATTAAAAACTCTTTTGCAAATGAAATAATTAATTTAATATTCCATGTGATAATTTTTTGAAAACATTTTGTTGTTTCTTTGGAAATTATGCGTCTATATTTCACGAAACACAATCCTCCCTAAAATACGGGAGAACTTTGTTGAGAGACAATTGCTTAAATTGTAAGGAAACAATAAAATCTCAAAAAATAATCTCACTTCGCGTGGTATTTAGAAAGATTATTTAACAATATAAACAGCACTTTTATAAACAAGAGCTTTGTTTCCATACGATGAAGTCTTTTTTATTCACAATGTATTAGTCTGGTTCACAAGTGCCATTTCCCTCGAAACCTGTCCTCCAGCACCGAAAATTATGATTTTGGGCTCATTCGATTCGGAATGGCATCTAGAACATTCTATCAAAATTTCAAGAGGGGCTGAAAAAAAATGCAAAAGTTATAAACAATAAAGTAAAATAAAAAATAAGGGTTTGGTTTTTTTGAAATATTTCAAAAACTATTTGAGATAATCGAAATTTGAAAAAAGATCCTTAAAGAGCAGGAAATTTCCTAAAAAAAGTCCTAACTCCGGTAACTGTACCAACAACCTTTATAATTTTAATTAAGCTGCGAAAATAACGGTAAAAACGCGTGGTTCGGCTGCCGCGCGCATCGCCCCAATCTGACATATGAACTAAAAAAATTATTTATTAATTAAATATTAATATTAAGGAATAAAAAAATTTGGGTACTAAGTAGACATATGAATAAACAATAATCCGTAAACAAAAAATTTTTATCACTATTTTTTTATTAATTATGCTTCTGTTAATTAGTTAATTTTCACCATTTTAATGTTAACATGTTAACATAAAAATGCTGATTATTTCAAAACAAGAAATCTAGAATTTTTTTTTATTTTTTTGAGCTATTGTTAAAAGGGTTTAGAAGAGATCCCCGTTGGAAAAATTCAAAAATTTTGATTTTTCACTTTTTTATTAACAATCAAAGGCATTAAAAAATTATATATATTATATAACAATTTGTTATAAACAAATGCAATTTTACGCAATATTTTTTACTAAAAAATATTACAAAAACAACCATATATATTTTTTATTGAAAAATTTTTTTTATTATTTTTTATTTAACTTAAAAATATTGTACTAAATAATTTTTTAATGCCTTTGATTGTTAATAAAAAAGTTAACAATCAAAATTTTTAAATTTTTCAAACGGGGATCTCTTCTAAACCCTTTTAAAAATAGCTCAAAAAAATCAAAAAAAATTCTAGATTTCTTGTTTTGAAAAAATCAGCGTTTTTATAACATTAAAATGGTGAAAATTAACTAATTAACAGAAGCATAATTAATAAAAAAAATAGTGATAAAAATTTTTTGTTTACGGATTATTGTTTATTCATATGTCTACTTAGTACCCAAATTTTTTTATTCCTCAATATTAATATTTAATCAGTTAAAATAATTTTTTTAGTTCATGTGTCAGATTGGGGCGATGCGCGCGGCAGCCGAACCACGCGTTTTTACCGTTATTTTCGCCGCTTAATTAAATTTATAAGGGTTGTTGGTACAGTTCTCGGAGGTAGAACTTTTTTTTAGGAAATTTCCTGCTCTTTAAGGACCTTTTTTCAAATTTCGATTATCTCACATAGTTTTTGAAATATTTCAAAAAAACCAAGCCCTTATTTTTTGTTTTACTTTATTGTTTATAACTTTTGCATTTTTTTTCAGCCCCTCTTGGAATTTTGATAGAATGTTCTAGATGCCATTCCGAATCGAATGAGCTCAAAATCATAATTTTCGGTGCTGGAGGACAGGTTTCCAGGGAAATGGCACTTGTGAACCAGACTATATATTTGAACAACCAAAACGATTTTTGTCCATGTTTCGTCACCTTTTTAACAAACTTAACATTGACGTTTTGCGGGATTGAGTGAAAACACTGCACCATTCAGTGTTTTCAGATACAGTTTGTTTTGATCGGTGTGTGTTGGAATGAAAAGGATTGTCATTGATCGATATATTATGGACGAGAAGCGAGTGTCCCCCTCCTATATTGTTTACTTTTTTTTTTCTTCTTACGCCTCTTGCTGTTAGGAAATATTCTTGGGTAGTTCTAATTATGGACGAATCTGTGTCTGGCTGAATGGCAATGTGCCTATGCAAAAAAAAACTACCATTTCCTATACTGGTATCCAAATCCAGAGTATAGGAAAAGTAATATATCATTCACCTTCAAAACGTTTAAAACAATAAATGGTATAGCCATATTTGAACTAATAAATTTCTTCTACATATTTTTAATTTACTGCAAGAGTTTGATTGACGACGTTACACTAAGTGCTTTCAAATCAAGACGGATGTTCATCGATTATTTTATTATTAAAAGAAGAACAATGAAAACCTCCGCTTTTGTGTTTACCAGATTCTACCAGATTTTTAGTTTGGGCGCCCTTACTGGTATCTGTAGGGGGATTATTTCATGACTTATTGTTGCAGCTCCTTCAATCTAGGTGCCATTGTTTGAACTAAATTTTTACTAAAAATACATCCATGTTAATTTATTTAACAGTATAAACTATTCGCTCTTAACTCTCAACAAATAAATGTAATAAATAATAAATGATCGTAAAAAACTAGGAAATATTCACCAGTTTCACAAAAAAGGGATTACATAAATGGTTATAGTTATTTTTGGTGAAGTTACCTCTATTATATGGTGGACATACTATAAAAAATCTAGGCTTTTTCACCAAAATTAACAATACGTGAAGTTTTTTAAAATACTTACCAAAAATATAGGCAATTAATACTAGTTTCTTTCTACAGGAAATACTATTTGGACTTACCTGAAACAAAAAAGAAACATTTTTAAACCTGTAATTTTTACCGATTTTAAGAATTTTAAAATAATATTAAACGTGGGATACATCTACTTTTAGGTTATTTTTTTTTTTTAATTGTCTTGCGATTGTCTTGAATGTTGTTAGACTTTTTAGACGTTAAATGTATTTTAAAATTTTTGAAATGTTTGATATTTGTATATCCAGTGTATATCCTATGACAACAAATGTTGCCGTATAGACAACTTGTAAGTCGCTATCAATGATGAAAATTGTTTATCATATTGAACAAATAAATCATTGGCTATTAGTTATATTTGTTGCTTTTCAAGATTAAAGTGGGCAATTGGTTTACGAAACGTAGTTGCCAAATCAATATTTCTTTTTGACATGTATAATTGAACTGTCAAACTGCCAACAGTCTTATTTTTGTAATTGGAATATATATATATTTTTTTTTTTATTTTTAAAATGTCTAAGCATTTAAAATAAGATATTTTGAAAAATAACGAGATAATGGTGGTTCTTTATTAATGCAGCCAGAGAGCGTACAGCAGCGGCGTTTAATTTGAATATTTCGACGGTAAGCTTAATTTCCCAGACATTAAAGAATAACCATATTTTAAATTATCCTCCAAAAAGGTGACCACATCCCAAACCTGTAACCGAAATTTTCAATTCTGACTACATTCGTTATGTCATTTACGATATGTATAATAGTCTAGTTAACAAGTGCTTTTTGGGTCAAACTTTTTCTCCGCCTCCGAAAAATATGAACGAGGTGTCACTCGATTCGGAATAGCGTGTACGAGGATATATCAGTATATAACGAGACTGGTGCTATAACTTCTTTCAGAGGTAACATTTTATAACCCAAAAAATGAGACATGAAAGCCTTATATTTAATGTACTACCCCGCAAGTAGGCTTTGATTTAACTTTTGACATTTGTTACAAATTAATTATTGAATTGTCAGTGTTTTGCGTACCCATCGAAAAATGAAAGTGGAGCAAAGATACGCGATAAAATTTTGTGTTCGATTGGGTAAAACACCAACTGAAACTTTTGAAATGATTAAAGGTGCATATCTAGATAATAGTTTATCACGATGTAGAGTGTTTGAGTGGCATAAAAAGTTTAAAGACGGTTGTGAATCAGTTGAAGATGAACCTCGTCCCGGTCGACCACAAACTGCGAGAAATGACACAAAAATTGCAGAAATTAACGACTTGATACAAAATGATCGCCGGATTCGCATAAAACGAATTTCTGACAATGTTAATTTGTCTTACGGTACCACTCAAAAAATTATTCATGAAGATTTAGAGTACCGGAAGATCACGGCAAGATGGATTCCACAAGTGATGACCGATGAACAAAAAGCGAATCGAGTGACAATTTGTTAGCAGTGGAAAAGGCAATTGCAACGTAACCCACAGTTTTTAAATAATGTGGTTACATGTGACGAAAGTTGGTTTTATCATTACGATCCTGAATTGAAGTCTCAAAGTATGCAATGGAAGCATAAAGGCAGCCCAAGACCGCAGAAGGCCAAAACTGCTAAAAGCGCTGGTAAAGTGATGCATCTGATTTTTTTTGATAAATTTGGCGTTATTTACGATCACATTGTACCTAGAGGACATACAGTAACAGGGGAGTACTATTCTAATGTACTTCGAGGACCCTTAAAGGCAAAATTAAAGAAAAAAGGCCGCTTTATCAGGACTTTGGCTGGACGCTGCATCACGACAATGCTCCGGCTCATAGATCAATGATTTGTCAACGAACAATTGAAGAATTAGGGGTTGAAATTATGGTTCATCCCCCCTACCCTCCTGACCTTGCTCCATGTGACTTCCATTTGTTTCCTGAAGTCAAAAAAGAATTGAGAGGTAGAAGATTTAAGTCGGATTTAGAGCTCAACAACGCTGTGATACTAAACAGACTATCAAAAAATGGTTTCTCAGAAGTTTATGATAAGTGGATAAAGCGATGGAATAAGTGTATTCAACAGAATGGAGAGTACTTCGAAGGATAGTTGTTGAATTTTTTTAAATAAATGTTTCGTTGTTATACTATAGCACCAGTCTCGTTATTTTCTGATACATCCTCGTAGATGGTTTTTCAAAAAATTCAAGAGCCGCTTTCAAAAGTTATAAACAATTAACTGAAAAAACAAAAATTGGGTTTGGTTTTTTGAAAATATCTCAAAAACTATTTAACACATTCCAAATTTAAAAAAAGATTCAAAAAGAAGAGAAAATTTCCCCAAAAAAAAGTCCTATCTCTCAAAACTGTAGGACCAATATTTATATTTTTCCCAGAGGGTTGAAAATACGGCCGAAAACGAAGACTCTGGTTTGCGCAAGCTTCGCCCACTGTGGACCTTTAATGAATAAATATTATTTAAACTATATAATAATAATAAATAATAATACGTTTATTGCTTATATAAAAAAAAATAAAAATAATTAAGTGTTGATTTATTAATGTTTAAAAATAACAAAACATCACAAATAGGAAAGCAACTAAACTAACAGTGACCTTATCTAATGGCAAAAAGTCTTACTTTACGTCTGAACAAAAACCGATATCTTGCAGGGCCGAATTATAATTCTAAGGATGAGTGCGCTACGTTAATTTCCGTTATTCTGAAACAATAATTAGTCGAGAATTAATGAAGCAAATTTCAAAATTTTTTGCACGGTTGCATAGAGAATAAAACCCCCTTTCAAATGAGCTATCACTCACCACCTCATGCCATTTAAATTTTTCGAAAGGGTTGGTCCTCCAGTAAGGGATGAAATTATGGGTAAACTATTCATACAAAAATGTACATTGTAGAAATCAAAAATCGACGTGTCTCGGTGATTTTCCTAACAAGACTCCAGTAACGAGTTAGATAGGGGGGTATGATGCTCACTGTATAAGAAAATATACAACATGCATCTGGTTCGGTTATATTTTCTAATGCATAGATTAAAGCCTCCAGATCGTTTAAACAATTTGTTTTCGGTTTCATAACATTATATATTGGACAACCGAACAAGATATGTGTAAGAAATTCATTTACATTTATGTTACATACCGTACAAACATTATTGGGATCTATTACATATATATTATTATTAAGTGTAAATTTTAACCGAAATTTATTAGTTAATCGGAGTTGTACAAGTGTTCGTGTAACTTGTATGGGCAGTTTTAGAAGTAAATATTTTTGGGAAATTTTATCAGGGGAAAAAGCTGTATATAGGGACAAAAACTGACAGCGTGTAATTCCTATGATATCAAAATTATAAAGTTTATTGTAATAAGCAATTAGTAACCTGTTTTTGTTTAGTTTTAGGTTATTAGCATCAAGATTATTCCATATGTCTTCATGGTCAATTAATTTAAATAAGTGTCTAACTTGAGCAGCCCAATTATATTTTACTTCTCCAGAGTTAATCAGATGAAGCTGTCTATTAAAACAAAGCTTTGGATACGAATTATCATTCATACTTAAGATTTTATGCAGCATTTTGAATATATTATAGGAATATTTAACTCTGCCAGTTTCTAATTTTATTGCGCAGTCAGATGTATTGATAGGCACCAATAGCATCCTCTTCAGAAAAGTTATTTGAACCCTTTCTACCACCTCCAAATACCTTAGACTCCACAGAGGTGCACAATTAAACATTATGCTAAGAGCCAAGGATTCAAACAACTTTATCCGAGGATACCATGTGTCCATTTTAGCTTTGGCCATAACCGGCAAAATTGCTCCTATGGCTTGCTTACCCTTATCTGAAGTTGATAACGACATTTCGTGAAATAAGCCAGAAGATGTAAATGTGACTCCTAAATATGTATATTTATTTGTAAAATTTAGATGTTGACCGTTAAATTTCAAAGGGTAGTTATTTTTTTGAAAACCTCCTCTAGAAAATGACATAATTTTAGTTTTTTGGATGTTGACGATAAGGTCATTGAAAGAGGTAAGTTTTTTTGTAACATCAATCTCAGAGTGTGCTAGGATTACCATATCGTCGGCATAAAGTAGTGTGAGAATATCATGGATATCATCAATATTCACACCCCGTGCTCCTTCGGCATAAAAAAAATCTTCTACATCAGCTAAAAACAGAAAAGTAAAGGACTTAGAGATTCTCCTTGCAGTACACCGTCAGTTACATAAAAAGACTTAGATAAACCGTTAGAGGATTTAACCCTGACTGAGGCTTTTGAGTATAAATTTATTATAACATTAAGAATTTTCGCCGATACAATTTATTCCACAATAAACGATGATTACCGAATCAAATGCTCTTTTGAAATCGACGAAAATTGCAAAGAGTTTCCTTTTTATGCCTAATATGCAAGTGTATTATCGAACTTAGTGTATGTACATTGTCGATACAACCTCGACCTGATCTAAAGCCAGCTTGACACTCGGGTAAGATGTTGCAGATATCAGTCCACAGAGAAAGCCTATCTAGAAAAATATGCATAAATATTTTTGCACAACATTTAACGAGTGCTATACAGGGTGGGCCACTTAAAAGTTCCACCCCCCTTATCTTCGCTATTCATTGAGAAATAATTTTTTCTTGTTTGAAAGGCTAGAATAAATACTTTATTACGATGGGTTCAATTATTCTGTGACGTCATGGCTTACTTCCGGTTTTTCCGGAAATAGCAGAAAATCGTAATTTATTTTTTATTTTTAAATTGAAACCCACTTTTTTATTGTAAAACTGGATTTCTAGGACATTTTTGTATAATAATCGTGTATTGAAAATTTTCTGACATCTTTCAAAATGGCCGCCATATTGGATAATATTTGTTCTAAACATGTTACTATTAATTCGTTAATGAAAAAAAATATAGGAATGTATGATCTTTATAAAATCTTTGTTATCTTCAGAATTCCCATTGAGACCAATTTACCGTATACCAGTGGCGTATCTAAGCATTTTTAATATTAGCAAACCGTTTAATAATTTCACCCGCTTTTATATTCGTTGTTAATTGAGATATC